TATATATATATATATATATATTCATCTTTTGCATTCATGTAACTTATGATTTCTCATATCACATAAAAAATGATCACTTTTTCAACTTTGAAAAGTGAAACACATCTTTTAATGCATAGGGTTGCATACTACAAATTTCCATAGGCAACGTCACCATTGAAATCTAGTGTAAACCCAAGAAAGTAACCAAAACACATTACCGAATCATTTATTCAACTCACATAACATGGATTACACACCACAAAATCCCAAAGTTATAATAAGCCAAGCTAAAATATAACAAAACCAATATTAAAGCAAACTTAACAAAAGCCAACCGAACCCAAACTAAATCAATCCCAACCACAACCGAGCAACCCCAACCAGAGTTAACAAAATCTACAACCAAGAAAAACTCTAAACTAGAGCAAACCCAACCACAATCAATAAAACCCAACGACATCAGACCGAACCCCATTCACAACCAACAAAAACCCAACAAGAGAAACCCCAACCACAACCAATCAAATCTCAACTGGAGCAGACCCAAGAACAGTAAAAAAAAACCCTACCAGAGCAGTTCTAAGCTCAACTAACAAACCCGAACCAGAGCAATCCCACCATAACTAATCGAACCCCAACCTAAATAACATGAAATGCACACCCTAAACCAAAAAGACAACACAATTCTTATGTATTTGCAAAGCTAACACCAAAGATTTCAAGAGTTAATAAAGAGTAGCACATATACAACAAACCCCAAAAAATTGAAAATGAAGTAATCATCCTCAAAGTCAAAGTTATCGCACGGAATGCAAAATCTAAATAGCGTCGAATGCTCACCCTAATCAACAATCAAACTCACCAATATAGGGAAGATTAGGATCTGAAAATTCGACGACAGGGAAGAAAAACTGAGAAAACTAAATAAAATGAGTTTCTTTGTGTGACCTTAAATCAAAGAGGAACGTTCGAGATACATAGAGATGATTCATAGCGAAGACGGGGGAGAAGCCAAAACCAAGGGTGATATCGTTGATAAAGCAAGACATTTGCTAAAAAGATGAAGCGTAGTGACGTCTTTTCCCAACCATGTTGTGGTTCGTTCTGCGGAACTGAGCTCCCATCCTGCAGTTCTCAAAAATTCAGTTTTGTGAATAGCCTTTTTTGAAACGCACCGAATAATCGGGCTCTCAAACGCACCTAATGTGCTTTTCGAAACAATAAGCAGCTAAAAAGCCGACCAAATGCACTCTTAAGGCCAAATTATATAAATGAGCTCCTAGTATCTTCAAATTAGTGGAAGGAGCATGAAAAGAAAAAAAAGCATATGCATTCGGGTAGGGAGTTCGTATTTGATGAATACGCATCCCCAAGGGGGCATTTATTCAGTGGAGCCAGGCCCATCAAATAAACACCCCTTTGGGGGCGTTTATTTATCAAATAAAACACACACCCCTATTGGTGGCGTTACTTTCCCCTTCCCCCTAACTATAGAGGAACTCTCCTCT